CACACATGCGTGGAATAATGAGGATCCAAAAAACCAGGGGGCTGAGACATGTATACTTCCTCTTGTAATATGCCATGAAGAAAGGCATTCTTCACATCTAGTTGTCTAAGTGACCAACCAAAATGAGCAGCAAGAGCTAAGACTAACCGGACCGTAGTTGGTTTAACCACAGGGTTGAAGGTTTCTCCATAATCAACACCTTCCTCTTGATTAAACCCTTTAGCAACTAGTCTCGCTTTATACCGAGAAATGGTGCCATCAGCATTTTTTTTAATCTTATAAACCCACTTACACCCTACAAGATTTTTATGTGGAGGAAGAGGAACAAGAGACCAAGTACCCTGAGAATGAAGAGCTGAAAGTTCCTCTTTCATGGCTGATAACCACACAAAAGATTTCAAGGCTGACTTATATGTTGCAGGCTCGGTTTGAGATAAATCCACTAACTGATCATCTTGAAGAACAGAGAGAAAGACCTTTTTCTTAGATATCCCACTCTTAGATCGAGTCTGCATTGAATGTGTATTGAGTGGAGGAATTGGTAAGACAACCTGTAAACTGTCAGGAGAAAAACCAATAGGATCTTCAGATTGCTCATACGAAGGCTGAGAAGTACTTGCAGGAGCCACAGGGGTAGGAGAGGATAATGATGGAGAAGAACTTGCTGATATGGTTGGGGTTGCAGTAATGAGTTGTGGACTGGAACTGTGAGCATCATTGGGAGCTGAAGAATGAGTATCATTTGGCATAGAAGTATGACCAGGGACTATAGTATTCTGATTAGTGACATACATATTTGGAAACTGTGATATGACAAAAGATGGAAGAGACTTTGAACACACAGGAACTGGACACTTTGAACTCAAACTGGTATATGGAAATTCAGTTTTCATCGAATATAACATGTCTGGAAACATATATCCTCTTATGAGACACCTCATAACAAATAAACCCTTTATACTTAGAAGCATAACCCAGAAATATGCACTTTGTGGTCCTAGGTTGAAGTTTGGTACTATTATAGGGTCTGAGTAATGGAAAACATGAGCACCCAAAAATTCGGAGATGAGTGATATCAGGAATAGAATGAAACAACAATTCAAATGGTGATTTGTTGTTTAAGGTGGAGGTAGGCATTCTATTAATAAGATAGACAGCCACTTGACAAGCAAAAGACCAAAACTGTGGAGGTAATGAAGCAGTTTGTAAAAGTGTGATAGAGGTTTCAATGATATGTCTATGTTTTCTTTCGACTAGCCCATTTTGTTCCGGGGTATGAGGGCAAGATATTTGATGGTTGATTCCTTTATCAAGAAGAAAGGTTTGAAGTGTTTTGCTAATATATTCCCCTCCCCCATCACTTTGTAAAGTTTTAATGGTAGTGGTAAAATGATTCAAAACAAAGTTATAGAAACCAACAAAGACAGAACAAACATCACTTTTATTGCTTAGAGGAAAAATCCAACAATATCGAGTGCATTCATCAATGAATGTCACATAGTATCTGAAACTGTCAACAGAAATACAAGGAGAGGGACCCCAGACATCAGTATGTACAACTTCAAATGGGGTAACAGATTTTGACACAAAAGCAACAAAGGGCAGTTTACAAAATTTTCCTTCCAGACAAGTAGAACAAATCACAGGTTTTGAATCAAATGCAACAGACACTTTACACTGTTTTAAAATGGAAGACACTACAGAATTTGATGGATGCCCTAATCTACTATGCCAAAGTGCAGAAGATACTTGGTGGCCAAGAAATGCCACTTGAGATCGAGGTGATGAAGCACGGCCAGGAAATGGAATTGGATACAACCCATCACTGCAAAGCCCCTTGAACATTATCCTCCCTGTGGCCTTGTCCTGAATCCAAAAACAGAAAGCATCATATATCAACCAGCAATTATTGTCCAGACACAATCTATGTACAGACAACAAATTCTGTGTTAACCGAGGAACATATAGGACAGAATGTAATTGCAATGGTTTAATTGGAGTTGGAATACTGGAAGAACCAATATGTGAAATAGATAAACCTGCACCATTAGCTGTTTGAATTGTCTCAGTGGACGAATAGGGAGTAGCCAATGAAAGATTATTTAGATCAGCAGTCATATGTGATGTAGCCCCCGAATCAGTAAGCCAGAACTGTTGAGGAGATGCACTAGGAACAACAGAATTAGAGACAGTGTTGACATGCATAGCAGTAGGCGCAGAGTTCTGAACATTGGAGTTCCTGTAAAGACAAAACTGTGCACTATGATTCTTTTTACTAGGGGTGGGTTCGGTTTAATTCGGTTCGGTTTTTTGCCAAAACCGAAACCAAACCGAAATTTCGGTTCGGTTCGGTTCGGTTCATTTTTTTTTCGGTTTTTTTCGGTTCGGTTTTTTTTCGGTTCGGTTTTTTTCGGTTCGGTTTCGGTTTTTTGTTTTTTTTTTCTTTCAAAAAATGAAAAACATTGAAATTTTAAATTTTAACGTATCCAACACAATCATAACACAAGCATTCTAACTATAATCAAAGACAATGAAAATAAACATTTAAAGTTGAACTAAAATCATCAATCAAGTTTTCCAAAGTCCAAACTAACAACATCACAACACAAAAATCGTACAAATGACTTAGAAAAGTTAAATTGTATGATGTTGTTCAAAGATCAGGGTTGTTTGCTTGTAACTGCATGTTGACAACTTGATTAGTAAAAGAAATGCGTGGGTGGATTTATTTAGTGTGTGTTGGATTCTTTTCCATCACAAATTCCTAAGTAATCTACCCGAAATAAATGTTTATAGATTCTGTTACATGTTATATGAGAGTAGATTTGGAAAAGAAAGCTGAGACAAAAGTAGACAGTGCTATGGAGATGGATGTAGGTACTTCAGGATGAGGTTTGGCTCCAGAACCTTATATGGGGGATAAATAATAGGTTAGGGTTTAAAGTTTTTATAGGACTTTTTTTTAATATTTTGAGCTTAAAGTTTGGCAACACATTGGGTTTAGCATATTTTAACTTACAAATTGGGTTTAGAAAATAATATCCAAAACAAATAATTAAATAAAAAAATTAATTTAATTAATTCGGTTCGGTTCGGTTTGGTTCGGTTTCTAGATCACTAAAACCGAACCGAACCAAAAGAATTCGGTTCGGTTCGGTTTTTTCAATTCGGTTCGGTTTTTTTGTTCGGTTCGGTTTTTTCGGTTTCGGTTCGGTTTGGTTTTCGGTTTTTTTCGGTTTTCGGTTTTTTGAACCCACCCCTACTTTTTACCACATATTTGACAACCTTGAACCGCAGCAGTATCAGAATTCCTGAACCGGCAAGTATCAGCCAAATGCCCATATTTACCACAAATTTGACAATTAGTGTGAAACTGGCCTTGCTGAGATGGTGGTGAATTCCCAAGAATACCAGGGGCATTATTGATGTAACCAGATTTGTTATTCCCAAACCGAGGATAGGAATTGTTGTAAAATTTCCCTCTGCCTTTGTTCTTGTTAAAATTTGGCTTATAACCAGAGGCATTAAAGAACCCAGATTGATAACCATAAGGATTAGACTGTCGGTCATAGCTTGAATTCTTAGAATCATGACCACTGTTCTTGGCAACCATTGCAGTTAAGAATGGAGTGGCAGCCACATTTTCAATCATTGCTTCATCAGCAAGTAACTGAGAGCGAAGATCCTTCATTGAAATAACATGTTCTCTTCCACGAATTATAGACCTCAACGTATTATACTCAGAAGAAAGACCATTCAACGTTAAGATCACAATATCATCATCCGCAAATGTGACTCCGGCAGCAGAAAGATAATCACGAGCCTCTTTAATTCTTTGTAAATATTGAGAAATGGAATCAGTACCTTTCTTGATGTTTTGCAATGCAGATTTCATCTGAAAAATTGTTGTCCGAGTAACAATGGAAAATTGCTCCTTGAGACGAACCCATAAGTCACGAGCACTGGTACTTCCAATTGCACAAGAAACGGCGGATGGAGACAAAGTGGCAGTGATCAACTGCATGAGTGCCCTATCATGCATCTTCCAAATCTTGAAAGTATCAGTCTCAACACGAAGAGAAGAATCAGTTGAACCCCCAGATACAGTGGAATCAAATCGTGAGGGGAAAGGGTTGATGCCATCGACAAATCCCATTATGCCATGACCTTCCAAAAGTAATTCCATCTAGAAATTCCACACAAGATAGTTAGAATCATCCAGTTTGACAGTAACTGATGAAGACACTGTCGATATAAGAGAGGAAATAGGAGATTGAAGGATCTGAAGTTGTGCAGCCGTCACCATAGCTTCAAATCAGAGAGAAAACCCAGATGCAAATTCGCAGAGGAATTAACACAAACACCTGGAGTGCACAAGAAGATGCGCAAGAAATCAAGAAATACAAAGAGATCAAGACCCCAAGAAACGTGAGAAAGAGGAGCAGATCACAGATAGAGAACGGAAGCAGAGAAATCCAAGATCGAATAACCGTCAAGCACGAAGCATTGCGGCGAATGATACCATGTAAAGTATGAAGAACTTACTGTATCTTGCAGAAGAAGAAAGAAAGAGATAGAGAGAAGTAGAGATTTAGAGAGAGAAAGAATATACTGTTTTTTTTATTAACTAGTACTTAACAATAGTTACACACACTAGTTATATACCAGATTTAGTAGCTTACTAACTAAACCACATACTCAACTCACAATCTATTGACATTTGTCACTCTATCTAACCATTGAATCATAAGCTCATAACAAACCCATATTATTGTTAACAGAGCGTTCACTATGCATTGGTTTGGTGGTCAATTATGCCGAAATGAGATTCTTTTCACTTGGGTTTTGCAGGAAATGCTTAACATAGCTGCCGAATACAAGAAAGTTGAGAAAGATGAATTGCCACCTGTGAAGCTTGCTACTGCAAAGGTGGGAAAGCAAGCCGCCAACAAGCACCTCGAACAGCTTGCCTCCAACTTTAAGTCGTCGGACATCGGCTGGACATTTGGAACATGCTAGATACCGTTGTGTTGAGTTTCGTTGATAATAGTACTTAATAAGACTAGTTCTAGCCATACTGGAAAATGTAATTGACCATAATCATTTACATATCTTGCCAATGAAACTTCGTCTTTCAATTTACGTACTATCAAACTAGATTTGTTAATCTGAAAAGGGTTTATCTTGCATCATTGTTCTTTAACATGAGGGTCTCGAACCGTCTCTGGATACAGATGCTGCTTCAGGCCAGATAGGTACAGGAGCTTCTTACTCAGCGTATCCCTCTCGTCATTGCCCGCTTTACTTATAAGAAGCGTACGGTTACACCACTCCAGTATCTCAGGGAAAAACACCTTCCAGTAAAATGACTGCCAAATCCAAGCTGGTACTGTCAAATAATTTTCTCCTCGGCATGCGCTGTCCACGATTGATTTGGCGGCCTCCTTCACCGGCAAGATCGGTATTATGCTTACTTCAAGCTAAAACCAACGAAACCAGCAAAAGATGATACATGGTGGTCCAAATAAAAAGCATTATAAAACCTGAATTAATCACTAACAATAACCAAAAGTATATATATAACTAGGCAGGCTTACATCTCTCAATTCTTGATCTAATACCACTTGGCCTTCCTTGGATAAGAATTTTCCTTGCGAAATTTCCGATTCAATCATTCCCGGAGTCACGATTGTTATTCCAACTTCCCTCCCAATTTCAACTTTCAACGTCTCGTAAAAGGCTATCGCTGCTGCTTTTGTAGCCTAATTAGCCAAAGTGAAATTCAATCACTGATGATTCACAGCTACATACAGCAAAAATAAATACATTTCACTAGGGAATTAGCATGTTCATGAGGTCAATTTTTCACTTTACTTACACCATACATGCTTAATCGTGGTGCACGCAACCATCCGGCAGAGGAAGTGATCGCTACGATCCTCCCTCCGCTCCTTTTAAGGTGTGGAATGGCAAAGTAGGTGCCATATACTGAGCCCCAAAAGTTTATGTCCTAGCAAATAAAGAATGGAATCACTAGTTAATCATAACAATAGTTAACCTAGGTATAGCTAGTATTAATTAACGAAGGCTTTGTAAATTTTAATTACTTAATTACCATGGCGGGCGCTAAGTTAGTGACATCAGTGGTTTCTTCAAACAAGCAGACAGGAACAATCCCAGCATTGTTCACTAGGTGATCCACTGTAAGCATCATTATTTAGAGTTAATCCAATATAAACAGACCATATGAATTAATTTGATCATGAACTGAGAAAATTAATTACAATTAAACAATATTTATAATCACTTAATTAATTAAGTGCACTTACAACGTCCAAAATGATTCACTGTTACATCAACAAAGCGCTTACAATCTTCAACCCTTGAAACATCTGCAGTGATTGCGAGGACATCTGGGGAACCAAAGCAAATGGCTGTGTTGGCAACGTCACGGAGTCGGTTTTCTCTTCTGGCAACAAGAGCTAGACAAGCTCCTCTTCTAGCATACTCATATGCCAGATGCTTCAAAACCCATCAAACACAACCTAAATATCACTTAAAACAAAAATTTATTTGGACACACAAAATCAACCCATCTTTATCATCCTAAAATCGTATAGTGAGACTCACCTATGTTTACGAGAGTATGTCGACAAGTATTTTAGTTGTGTGTCCAAATAACATTACCATCAATAAAATATAACATAACTCAAGCGCTAATCAATAAGTTAGTAAGCTAATACGGTGTCAGATGACACTCTCGTTTGACCCCGTTCCCAATTTAACCCATGAATTGAAGGGTTAATATGAGACATGTAGCAAGAGAATATAACACAAATCAAATATAAAAATGTATACTTTTAATTTCTATGTACCTCTCCTATGCCGGAGGAAGCTCCGGTAATGAGTATGACTTTTCCGCCCACATCTTCACTAAAAACATGTCGTGCGGCGGAGAGGAGAAGCTTGCAGAAGAGATAGGTTGGCAGAACGAAGAGCAACCAGGCGAGGGACATGGGAGGAATTGTAACGTTGAGCACCTTGTTAATAATATCCATGATTATGGTTAAAGGCTGGCTAGCTTCTTGATTAATAATTTTACACAGTTGTGATTATCTAGATATATATAACTGATCAAGCAGTGTCGCAGTTGTGATTTTCTACATATATTATATATAACTGAAATCAAGGGTCAGGACTTTGCAACGTAGCAAGGTTGCATGAAAAGAAAGCAGCACGTAGCCTCGGTGAGTTATTGCCACCAGCTTATCAAACAACCAAAAATTGACCTAAAACTCTTTTTTTTTTTTTTTTTTGGGTCGAAGAGATTTTATTAAACAACAACAACAAAATACAAGCAAATAAGGCCCAAGACTAGAGATGGGCAAATACCCATTGGTTATGAATAACAACGGTTATCCGTCTATTTAAATTTCACAGTTACAGTTAGGGGTGGGTTAGGTACGGTTACCGTACCAAAACCCTTGTACCAATTACCGTACCAAACTTTCGGCTTGGTAAAATCTATTACCATTACCGTACCAAACTTTCGGTATACCGAAGTTCGGTATTGCCAAAAGTTTGGTTGGCATGGTGTGGCAATGGTAATTGCCATTTTGTTTTTTTAACCCAATTCAAGGGCAAAACTTTTTTTTTTGTACCTTTATCTCATACATTATAGATTAAATTCATCTATTATTCATCATTCACAATTCACACACATAATAATTCAAATGAAGCATCAAGATTCATCATGAAAATTAAGCTTACAATCCAAATAGAAGTTATGAACCAAAACAAATAGAAGTTAACAATCCAAATAGAAATTAAAGTTTCAAAACCAAATGAAAATTGGAAGTAAACTTAAAAAAAGAGAATTCATTGATCAGTTATTCAAGCTTGAGATGTCGAAACTTTTGGAGGAGGCATTGAACTTGTAGAAGATTGAGTTTGTGTCAAGCCTACATTACAAACAAAAAAAACATATTAATTAGTAGCAAGAAGAATTAAAGTTGAAAACCATTTAATAACAAATTTACTAAAAAAATTAAAGCATATCTTTCTTGTTTTCTCTTCTTCTATTTCCTTGTAAAATTGAAGCATATCTTCCGTTGGTCCTTGTAGAAGTTTACTTCACCTGCCCTAAGCCAACCACTAGTACACACTAGTGCCTCCATTATTTTAGGAGTCAAGGATACCCTAAAAGGGTTCACAACCCTCCTCCCTAGACTAAATGCATTTTCACTAGCAACAGTAGAAGTGGGGGTTACAAAGATATTTTGGCTATTTGTGAAAGAATTAGGAACTCTTTTGTGTTTGATTTCCACAATTTTAAGAGATCAAGTCACCAACAACTATGCTAATATAAGTAGGGTATTATTTTCAAATTATTGGAATATTATAAATATGTGTTATATAATTATGTATTATATAAATTATAAATTATAAATTATAAATTATATTGTATTTTCGGTATGGTACGGTAATACCATGGTAATGGTATCCATTACCAATACCATACCATGATATTTTGGTACGGTACAATACCGTACCATTACCGATTGGTACAAAAAATTTGGCACAAAATCGGTATGGCACGGTTGGTAATTCGGTTGGCATGGTAATTTGGCAAAAAAATCCACCCCTAGTTACAGTTATGGGTAACCGTTTAAATAAATAAACGGTTATGGGTATAACCGTTTACCCGTGAAATTTAAATGGACGGTTATTGGTATTACCCGCTGTTATAAATGAGTACCCATTTAACCGTTTATTTTAATATATGTAAAACTAAGAAAAAAAATAGTTTCTAGCTAAGTTTAGTATCCCGAAGAAATTGGGGTGCTCCACAGTATGCGGGTTGCCCCGGGGGATGTGTCTATCTCACATCTATTTTTTACGGATGATTCGGTGATTTTTTGTCGAGCTTCGGTATAGGAGATTCGGGGAGTATGCGGATGGTTTTGAGCAATTTATTAATTGGGAGAAAAGCTCCTTATTTTTTGAAGCTAATTGTTCTACATGGCAAAGGAAGACAATTGGGCAATGTACTAATATTCTAGATAGGGATGGTTTTGGGAAGTACTTGGGATTGCTTGTGGATTTTGGGCATTCCAAGCATGCAGTGTTTGAAGAAGTCCGGAAGGGTATGGATGCACAGTTTAATGGATGGGCAAAGCAATATTTGTTGCAAATGGGTAAGGAGGTGTTAATTAAGGCAGTTGCAATGGCTATGCCAAACTAGCGATGTCTTGTTTTAAGCTTTCGGTGACTACGTGCAAAGAGATGGAGCTAGAAATAGCGAGATTATTGGTGGAGGGGAAATAAAAAAAAATCGGAATGCCTTGGATTGCATGGGAAAAAATTGAAGAAGAGTAAGGCGGGGGGCTAATTGAGGGGTTCAGGGACTTACAATGTTTCAACTTTGCGTTCTTGGCTAAAATTGGGTACTTACATATATATATATATATACACACACACACACAAACACACACAAGAATATTAATTAACCTACAATCATGCATGATTCTTGTAATAGATTGACCGTCAAATAATTGGGAGACATCGCATATATTCATAAATAATATTGCTGTTAATATAAAAATACATGTTAAATGTACTTATAATGGTATTTAATTGTTAGAAAAAGAAAATTATGACAAATTTCTTTTTAATTTTCAAGTTGTTAAAAAAATGGGTAGACAAGTAAAAAAAGAGTAAACGGGTTAAAAACGGATAAACGGGTACGCGATTATGGTTAAATGGGTATGCGGTTATGAGTAAATGGGTATGCGGTTATGGGTATGGTTAACCATTTATAAACGGTTATGGATATAGGTATACCCGTTTATGTAAATACCCAACGGGTAAACGGTTATGCGGGTAAGAGCTTAAACGGTTATGGGTAAATAACCGTGGTTACCCGACCGCCATAACCGTTACCCATCCCTACCCAAGACACCCTATTAACAAACAAACAAACAAACAAACAAACAAACAAACAAAAAAGGGTCCAAGACTAAAAAAAAACAAATAGAGAAAAGCCCACATAAACATTAAAGCCCAAAAAACTGCACTACAGTCGAGAAACCGAGAAGCTTCCACTGCCATTCCACCATCAGCATTCCAGTCTATCCAAGCAAAACCCAGTCCACTGCCGCCAAGCAATACCTCACCAAACATCGTCTCTGAGCCCGAAAAGTTACTTGAGCATATCCATAAGCAGGGGATAGTTGACAACAAAGTGAGAGAAGCCAACTACCCGAGTGAAGATTGTGGAAACCCACTAGCGACACTTCCGAAACCAGCAAATAACAAAGAGAAAGTGGTGGTATTGGAAACACCCGAGCCGGAGTAAACCCCAAAACTCTACACACGATCTCAATAGGAAACATGACTGAAGATTGGACCATGGGATAGCCGGGATAAGGAATACCTTTGGGGATAAAAGAATTGGACATACCAGATTTAAGGAGAAATAATAGTAAAAGCAAAGAAAGAAGAAGGAAATGGGACAGAAGAGGACACAACAACCGACCCCAGCCGAAGCTAGGGTCGGTGCCTCTAGAGAAACTTAGGTTTAAAAGTCTCACACAAACAGTGAGAATGACTCTCAGTGTGGAGAGAAAATCTCCCACCCCAGAGAGAAAAATTCCAAAGAGTCAGCCTTTGGTCGATGAATCCAATATTTCCTTGGACCAAAAACTTCTCACTGAAGAAATACCTAATAAAGAAAAGAGGAATGAGGATCTTGGGGATCCTCAAATTGTGTCCGTTTATCGTATATCGTGCAGTTAGTTTTTGTTTGGTACTGTTCATGTTTAATTTTAAATAAAATTATTTAAAATGATTTCTGGCTGCACAATGCACAATGAATGAACATGATTTGAGGATCCCCAAGATCCTCACAAAGAGGATCTGGAGAGTAATGCTATGAAGACTAAATTTGTAGATAAAAATTGTAAACTAAATGATGTGTCACCAATAGAAAATAGCATGTTTAGCAACGCTTAAGTAATAATACAATCATCAACTTATATGTTATTTAGTTTTCAAAATTTAATCTACAAATTTAGTCTCTCTAACTTACCCCAAAGAAAAAGATAATTGAAAGTGAGTTTATGTGCACGAGGAGAGCTTGACTCTTTAAGATTATGAAGAGTTCCCCTTTAATAGATTTTGTGATTATTTCACGAAATATTCCATATATAATGAGAGCATTGTTCTAAAAATCTCCGTCTAGCGTTGCCTAGGCCCCTCCTAGGCGCTAGGTGGCTGGCTACCGCCATGATTAATACCTAGGCGTTTGAAAATTAAGAAAGTGCTCCTAAACCTATTAAGGCGCCCGCCTAGGCACCTGCCTAGCCCGCCCAAACCCGTCTAGCCACCCGCCTAGGTTGCGACTCAATTAGACAGAAAATAGATTAACTTTTAATTTGCATTTTATTTTATTTTTGAAATAAATTGTAAGAGACTTGTTGCATACTTAAATGAACGCACATTATATTCTTGTTCCCCATGTTTCATTATGTTTCAATACTTCATAATATATTCGTCATTCTACATTGTAGTTTATTATGAAATTATATATATATATATATATATATATATATATATAAGCAAGCATTTATTTACATGAAATATAATAGATTTACTTAAATCTGCCTAGCCTGGCCTAACCGCTTAGGCGTTAGGCCCCAGGTCGCCGCCTGACTAACTCCTAACATCTTTTAGAATCTTAAATGAGAGCTGCTTGTATTATAAATTTCTCTACGAAAATGTTCTCTACAAAAGTAATTAAATTAAATAGTTTAATAAATTAATTGTAATCAACAGATAGATGGTTCGTAATGCTTTTAACATTTTTTACTTTTTTTTGTCTCTCATTCAATGATTCAACGAACTCATATTTTATTAATTTTTTTTTTTTTTTTGCGGAGATCATATTTAATCTTTACAGAGTAATTTACAATAGGAATTTTTTTTGAAATGTCATATGAACTCATATGCCTTTTCAATTTGTTATATGAACTAAAATATTATAAGCAACTTGTTATACCAACTTTTCCAAATCATTAATTTGTCATTCACTTTGATTCTGTCAAGTTTTCCATCCAAAATAAGTCGTGT